TTTATTCCGTTTTCTTTTCTTTTTAGTGAAAGAGAGAGAATTTTTTGCCGAGTAATTGATGTTTAGTATGAAAACATTTGTTAATTTCTTTAATATTCTTTATTTTTTCTTCTGTTTTTTTTCCTTCTTTCTTTATTTTTTTTTTCTTTCTTCCTTTCTTTCTTTCTTTCTTTCTTTCTTTCTTTCTTTCTTTTGGTTATGTTTTTTGTTCCTTCCTTCATCTTTTCTTTCTCGTCTACTCGTTGTTTCGTTCCATCCTCATTCAGGAATCTCATTTTTATTACTTGTATTCGTTATTCATTCTTTCCTTACTCGTTCTTTTTTTTTCACATCTTTTTTTTTTCTTCTATCTTTAAAAATATTAGCTTCTGTACCCCTCCGTCCGTTCGTTCGTTCGTTCGTTCTTCTTTCTATATTTTCTTTTATTCCTTCTTTCCAATATTCAGGCATATTTCTTCTCACAATCCTGAATTCATTTCTTCCTAAGTTCCTGTTCGTTCGTTCGTTCTTTCTTTCTTTCTTTCTTTCTTTCTTTCTTTCTTTCTTTCTTTCTTTCTTTCTTTCTTTCTTCAGTCGTTTGTTCCTCATTGATATTTAAAAAAGGACTATCCTATATTAAACCATTCACTGTTCCTTCTTTCTTTCATATTTTCATTCACGTTTTGTGTTATTTTAAAAATTCACCCGTTTGTATTATTCTCAATTTAGTTTATTTTTTGTTTCATACTTTCTTTATTCTTTCCTACCTCATACAGTTTTTCCTTTTCTCTCCTTATATTTCATTCGGACCTTTCTAAATATAATTTTCTTTTATTCCCCAATTCATTGTTCATCATTTCCCTTCTTTACTTTCCTTCGTCAGTCTTCGAGTCTCAAGTTTGTTCTCTTGTTATTTCCTTCATCGTCTTTTTCTTGCCTTTATTTATTGCGTTATTTGATTTTTCTTCATATTCATGTTTCCGTCCTTTTTTTTCTTTAGTTTGTTATAGGCAGGCACGGTGGAGTAATAGATAGCCGAGTTCGAATTCCAGCCGAATCCATTACATACACTTACATGCCTTGGGATAGGTATGCATCCTTTTCTTCTTTATGGGTAAATAGCAGGACAGTTGTAGACTTGGATGGCAAGAGGTCTACCGCAGAAAGAAATCGCAACTTATTGCGGGAAAAAAAATCTGCCTCATCAGCCATGTATCGAAAGATACATGATCACCTAAGCGTGTATCACTTGAATATAACTGACTGACTTCGTTATAAATATTCATTTCTTTCAACCATTTTCAATTATTTTTTCCCTCATTCATCCTTGTCTTCATTCGTTCTCTCCTGGTTTCATTTTTCTTTCTTCTTTATTCATTTCGTTCCTCACTCTTCATTCAATCTTTTATTTTCTCTTTCGACGTACATATTTGTTCCTTCTTTAGTTCACTGTTTATTTCCTTCCTTCTTTCAAAGCTGTTCGTCTGTTTTTCATTGATTATGTTTTCTTTCCGTACGTATCTACTTTCTTCTTCATATTATTGTTTCATTTCTTTTTTTCACTATTTCTCTCATTTTTTTCTTTCCATTGATCATTTATGTCTTCATTCGTTCCTTCTTCATTATTTTCTTCTTAATTTCTTGACAACTTTGTTCTTCTCTTTTCAACTTTCATTTTCGTTTTCATTCATTATCTTCCAAATTCTTTTATCCCTTTCCTCGGTTCTGTACGTATTCAGTAAAGCGTACAAATGCTCATCTAGCTGTCCGATAATAAAAAACAAAAATGGCGATAGCTAAAACAATCGTTCTGACAAATTTATCTCAATGACGAAAGTACATTTATCATTAAATCATTACAAAGACGTTTGAAACTGGGAAGTATTGCCACGTAACTCCTTACTGAAAACATTTGACGAGTGGTAGGTTTGCTTGTGGGCGGTAGATATATAATCAAATGTCGGATTTAAATGAAAAGAATACGATTTGGAAACAACTTTGTGATTTCTATTCAAGAGAATACTTTTTTTGTTTATTGTAAAACTTATTTGTTATTCAACATACAACAAAAATGCTTCGTTGATTTAAGATTTTTTTTTCAGTAATTTCAGGTGTGGGTTGTTTTAATCTCAGAAATGTTTACCATCTTGGATAAGAAACCAAAATATAATTTTTAATGAACTTACATTATTATTATTATTATTATTATTATTATTATTATTCCTCCATCTTCTTCTTCCTTCTCCTCCTCCTCCTTCTTCTTCTTGACCTATGCTACCTCCCTCTCATCCTCGCCCTCTTTTTTTCGTCTTTTTGGTATCTCTCCTAAACCTTGCTCCGCCATGCATTTACTTAAGTTCGCTAGGTAATATATATATATATATATATATATATATATATATATATATATATTTTTTCTGTCCCTTTTTGACTTCAATCTGTCTTGCGAGTATCAAATTTTCCTCAAAAGGTCCCCTTCCTGTTGTAAACATGTGTTTCCTTTGTGCTTCCATTTTCTAAAATTTCGTCCTTGCTCAGACTATGGTATTCCCAATATCCTTCTGTAGAACCAGAATGTTGCTGCTTCAACTCTCTTCTTTATTTGTGAAGAGATTGTTCAGCATTCTGTATTTTAATAATTTGCTTAGCTTCCGGAAAGCATCTTTCGATATGCCAATCCGTCTTCGGATTTCGATGTCTCACCTTCGGTACTCTGTTAAAATAATTCCCAGATATTTGCTGTACTTGTTTGATTTTGGTATCTCCATATTTATGTACTTGTTATAAATCTACTCTATGCTTATATAAAGGGTGATCCAATTACTTAGACCGATTTTAAATTTGAATGAATTTTAAGCTTCTAATGATTTATTTCTTTTTATTTCAGATTTAACAACTTAAGTCTTTATCAATTTCAACCATGGATATATTAGCGATCAAACAACGTGTTAAAGTTATCGAAGTCTATTAAGATAATGAACGTTCAAACAGAATTTGAATGAGACGTTCCCAGGTTGCATTATCTCTCGAAACAGTGATCGCGTGACTTGGTGCCTTCAGATTTCTTCCATTTCTCAAAAGTAAGGTCTATGCCAATAAACCAACACAAATTAAACAGCTGAATGATGAGATAATAAGGCATATTGGTGAGATCGAGGAGCAACTATGCAGAGACATCATCAAAAATTTTGACCATCGAGTGGAGGTATGCCACCGAAGCCTTGGCGATATTATTTTTCACACAGAAATGACATGACTTAAATAACATAATCCAATAGAAAAATAAACAAAATTTCAACACTAAAATTGATTTATGTACTGCTGACTTTGATCCGTCTTAATGAAACTTTATATATATATATATATATATATATATATATATATATATATATCGGGTGTAGCAGCAAAATGGTCCAAATCGTAAAAAAATAGTGGGTAATTGTTCCTGCCACAAAATTTTTAATATCTAAAAAAAAAACACTAAACTAATTGAGTTTCATTTTTCCAAGTTTTCAGAGAAAACGTATAGCCATTTTGATACTATTTTTGTTGGGATCACTGAAAAACCCTTTTAGTTATTCAGCTAGACAGAGAGCAGGTTAAAATCATTTTGTGTCAGCCCCATTATGTCTTTCCAACTGAGCAATTGTGAGACGAAAAAGATCATTCATGTCTTCAGTAATGGTACTAACATTCACACAGTGGCTTCTATTTTCAAAGTCCATTCAAGAACCATCAAGAGAACGGTAAAAAAGTTTTAAAAAAATGGAACAGTAGAGAGGAAAAACGGTTCAGAGTTTAATGTATTGATTGGATAATTTTGCTGTTACATCTGTTATACATATATAGCTTAGTGAACAGCGCTTTGTTTAAAGAAAGGCATGAATATTACAAACGCAGGGCCAGAACTACCCCGAACTCCCCGACGGGGTTGGGGGATAAACCCTCCCTATCTTATCACCATTTGTTTTTTTCTAACTAAATTTATGTCCGTTACGAAAACTAAGCACAACTGACTATTATGGGATGTCCAATTTTTGTCCAAATCCTTGAATTTGTTCTGATCATGCTAAGTCTAGAAAACACACTATAGAAGATTCACTATCTTTTATCCATAATGTTGAATGTGTTCAACATTTTAACAAGGAAAATCTTGATGTTAAAAATTGCCGCCAAACATTGATTTATTTACAATGAATTGATGTATTATGATGTGTCTCTAATTTGTATTTAGATACATTGTATTACTTATCAATTTTCCTAGTTGAATTGTTCACCTATACTGCATATGATCCTTTTGTTATAGATATACTTAGGTTACAATCAAATATTTTCTTTTTTTTTTATGAATACTACCTTATGACAATTGAGATGTAGTATCGTGGGGGTCGGGGTAACATAGATTCCAGGGGCTGAGGCTCACTAGACCCTTGCCATGGCCGTGTGCAAACGCATTTATGATCCGAATTCTGCCCAATGATTTCACGCTGCGCGCTAGAGGGCATTGGCATATGTTCTGAAAGGCCAATTCACTTCATGCGAAAAATGATCCGAATGATGTAATAAATATTTTCCTTGTTTCTTTCGTTGAGAATGTGAATAAAAAAAGAACAATAGTAAAAAGAAAGAGAGCCCAAGTGAAAAGTTTATATTTCAAAACTGTGTATCTTTTTCTAGCACAATATCACCACTTCCCTGTAGATTAAAACCTGGTAATTATCTATCGTTTTACCCTTTAGACTTCTATATCTATTTATCTATCCATCCCACATTCTTGGTTGGAGAGTGTGTCGAATGACCTACCTTGTTACGATTTGAAAAATTTAGGGTGGAAATGTTATATTATTTATGTAGTAATCTTATCTGTCACATGGATTTTCCCTCGCATTCATTGTACTGTTGGTTTTCTTTTCCTTATGGTTATCTATCTATCTATCTATCTATCTATCTATCTATCTATCTATCTATCTATCTATCTAATACTATTCATTATCTATCTATCTATCTATCTATCTATCTAATATTGTTCATTATCTATCTCTCTAATACTGTTCATTATCTATCTATCTATCTATCTATCTATCTATCTATCTATCTATCTATCTATCTATCTATACTGTTCATTATCTATCTATCTATCTATCTATCTATCTATCTATCTCTATCTAATATTGTTCATCTATCTATTACTGTTCATTATCTATTCATTCTATCTATCTATCTATCTATCTATCTATCTATCTAATACTGTTCATTATCTATCTATCTATCTATCGATCAAATACTGTTCATTATCTATCTATCTATCTATCTATCTATCTATCTATCTATCTATCTATCTAATACTGTTCATTATCTATCTATCTATCTATCTATCTATTTATCTATCTATCTATCCATCTAATACTGTTCATTATCTATCTAATACTGTTCATTATCTATCTATCTATCTATCTATCTATCTATCTATCTATCTATCTATCGATCTATGTCCACACACACACACACACACACACACACACACACACACACACACACACACACACACACACATATATATATATATATATATATATATATATATATTTATTGATTGAAGATTGCCTATGTATAGACTGCAATAAATGTGTATGGCTACCCTGTATGTCTTCAAAGAACACCATAAAATGAGATATTTTTCTATCCTTTTAATGTAACAAATACAATTTTAGTAACTACTGTATGTTTGCTTTTATTTTGACAAAGAATAAGAACTTAACTATAGAAAAGTATCCTTCACCAGCATCATATTTTGGTTTTGTCCATAATTACTGCCTTAGTTAGTGCATAGCATTCTTACCAAGATTGAAAAAAAAGAAGACCTCCCCAAGTATTCTTCAAGCAGTGGAAAAGCTCACTCTCACTTTCCGGGTATTCTCTTCGAACTCTCCTCGCCAATTCATACTAATTCAGTGGGAGAGAGATCAGGAGATTGAGACGGCTAAATCACAATTTCCAAAATTTTGTTCGCTTTTTATTTTTATTTTCTTTTTTTGCTCGAGCTCATTACAAGAATCTTTTGGGTAGTTGTCTTGCTGAAACGTGATTTTTTCCAATTATGCGTAAACCAGATAGTATAGCATGTCTTTTAAAAATCATTATATATCGTTTATATATATATATATATATATATATATATATATATATATATATATATATATATATATATGTTAAGGACCTTACCTATGATAACATAATGGACTATTCCATATGTAATAAATACTGCGCCTCAAGAGGAAGCAGGGAGTTCCGTCTGAAGTCTGGAGTTCCGTCTGAAGTCTGGAGTGAGGTCCGTCAGAGGTCCGTCAGAGGTCCGTCAGGAGTCAGTCAGCCGAGTCAGAGGCAGTCCGAAACAGAGTAGCGTTCAGACAATTACTACTAAACCTCATTGTTCGTACTAACATTTTCTGTCTCTCTGTATATATTCCTGTTTGTAATATATCTGTGTTATTCCATATACGTGTTCGAGTTCTTTATTGGTTCTACCTTGGACTATCACCGTGGTACAAGGAACCGGACCATAACAATATATATATATATATATATATATATATATATATATATATGAGTGTGTGTGTGTGAATGTGTGTGTGTGCGTGTGTGTGTATTCCTATACAGATGTCGAGACCTATAAACTAGTTCCACCAGGCTTATCAATCAAGACATCTGTCTTTTCCAGAAGAGCACAAAGAAAAGTGGAAAAGATAGGGAAAGAATTAACACAATCAGTGGAAGGAACATCAGCTGGGATATGAAATATTCAAACAGAACAGGACATTACTTAGCAAAATAATATAATGACAACAACAAAGTTGAGGACTATTCACATCATTTACATCGTTTGCACTGTTGTTCTCATCATTATTGTCATATTCACGACGTTTCGACCGTTGTACGCTCCAGCCTTCTTCAGGTGATTGGACTTTCGAACTGAACGCTTTATTTCGTCCAACGGAGTGGATTGTTCTCGTTCTACATTCCATGACTCTTCTGGATGTCTCAGTTATCTACCTCAAAGACACATGACCAATGGATAAAAAGTTAGTCGGATCCAGTGACTTGATCCAAACAGTTGCGAGTTCAATACCTGGCTACTGCAGCGAAGAACAAATGCTTGGAGAGCTGAGTTAAGGGAGATAACTGAGACATCTGGGAAAAAATGGCCTAAAAGAGTTCAAAGCTTAATTTAACAATTGAACAATTTTGCTGTTACACTATTGGGACAATTACACGCATATATATATATATATCTATATCACTCTCTCTCTCTCTCTCTCTCTCTCTATATATATATATATATATATATATATATATATATATATATGATAGAAATTAAGGAGGATTTGAAATAATTACGTAATGCATCGAGTCTAGAAGAAACCTCAACAGAATGCAGAAAGCACTGGACGGCCGTTTCGTCCTATATTTAGGACTCATCAGCAGTGCGCATCCACTACCGAGAATTGAAACCCGGATAGTTACATTGACAGGCCAACGTCTATCCAACGCCATACCAACTGCGGCGCAATACCGAGTCTAGTTCGCTACCTCTTCGTCACCAAGGCCTGTTAGTATGACGTTTGCCTGTCAATGTAAATGTCCGGGTTTCAATTTTCGGTAGTGGATGTTTACTGCTGATGAGTCCCAAATATAAGACGAAACGGCCGTCCAGTTTTCTTTCTGCATTCTGTTGAGCTTTCTTCTAGACTCGATGAATTACTTCTATATATATATATATATATATATATATATATATATATATATATATATATATATATATATATATATATATATATATATGCTTGTTTACATATATGCAATTGTATTTGTGAGGCTTTTGATTCGTGTGTGTGTCTGTGTTTCATACACACTTTGTTATCTAATGAGTTCTTCTTACGAGACACTGAAGCTGACTGTGCGTCTCGACGGATATTATTAAATGCCCAACATATGTTTAACGACAATCAAATTAATGATGGAATGAAACGCTCTTTCAAATCTTTTTCATTTCTTCATCCTTTCCTCTACTCCTTTCTTTCAATCGCTTAACATCTTAAATACGAACCTATTTCTTCTCTTCCATATTCATATTTATATACGCTTGCCCTGATACACACACACACACACACACACACACACACACACACACACACACATATATATATATATATATATATATATATATATATATGCGGTGTAACACCAAAATAGTTACAAATAGTGTAACAGCAAAATTGCCCAATTTTTAGATTAAGCTTTGAACTGTTGTATCTTAGAAATGATTAAATATATCTTACTGGAATTCTCCAGGTTTTTATAACGCTATTGAACTCTACTTTGACCAATATGAATGTATTTAGCTCTAAGTTGAAATGATGAAACTACCTGATCCCGTTTTCCTTTCTACTGTTCCCTCTTTTTAAACCTTATTCACCATTCTCTTGATGGTACTTGAATGGACTTTGAAGATGGAAACCATAGTATTAAATTAACCTGTTTTCTTTCTCGCTGAATAACTCAAAGGGTTCTTAGTAATTCTTACGACAAACGGTGTCAGATGGCTAAATGTCTTACCTGAGAACCTAGAAAAAAGAAACTCAGTTTAGTCGTTTTTTAGATATTAAACATTGATTGTGGGATGGACAATTATGCTGTTACACGTTTTGGACAATTTTGCTGGTACATCTGTTTATTTATATATATATATATATATATATATATATATATATATATATATATATATATATGTGTGTGTGTGTGTGTGTGTGTGTGCATATAAATTAACACACAGAACCAGGCGACTCCTGAAAAAGCACGCCTCATAGGAGACGCCGAAAAATAAGAGCTCAGTGCTACAACAATAGAGTAATTATATCTGACATAATTGCGTACCCATTTTTCGGGCTTTGTCGGCAAACGGCCGTATCATGTTAAAACACCGGTTCTCGTACGATTACCGAAATTAAGCAACGTCGAAACTAGTCAGTACTTAGATGAGTGTCTGTTTGCAAATAACAGGTGCTGTAAACCTGGATGTGAGAGTGGTGTAATGGATAACGACTTGGAATTGCAATTCGGCTCTCCGATTTCCAATTCAAGTCTGATTCGTTATGTTCACTTACGCCCAAATCGCCTTCAGAAAGTTGTGAATTCACTTCTTCTCTCCCATCTATGGGCTAATTAGCAAGTTTGGTATCAGTAAATCATTATTATCTCCGAAAATTCTTACAATCTAAACATTTTTCTGTCATTAAATAACCCGTAAAAGTTTGATAAAAAAAGGAATCTGTCTGTCATTCAGTTGGTGTTAAAATCTCCAGGCCTTCTTTCCTCATTAGGAATTTCGACTATGTTTTTTATTTATTGTTATTACTTTGTCTTTACTATATTTTTTTAAAAAACTTAATCGGAGCTTACATATCCTGTCCATGTTCGTCTATGTATTGTTCCGACAGAACCAACTCTCTATCGGCTACTGGCTTTTCTACATCTATGAAGAAACTGTCCGGCAGTCACTGCCATATAGGAGAATTTGATATGTCTTATACTTTTCTCTGTTACTAAGAAATTTTCCCATCTCTTAGTACTTTTTCTTATTTCCTTGAAGGTATATTTTGATATTTGTATGCACCTTTTAATTTCTGTCTTATACTTGCCATCGTCTGTAACTAGATTAAGCGAAATTGATACATTTCTATATCTGTGTGTTTTTGACGTCCCTAATTTGTAGCTATCATCTTAGTCTGCCTCTTTTGCTGACAGCCCTTCATTTTGGGATTTTTACAGCTAACAGTCATTTCTTCTTGCTTTCAGGTAATTCCTTGTTTAATCATTTTATCAGTTTACTTTCTGAGTCTGCTATCACTCGTGTCATTAGCGATTATTATATTTTTAAGATTAAGATAACAAAAAGCTTATGTTAGTCAAACACAAGGTCCAGGTACAATATCTCTCCCTTACAGTAGCAAATAACTTAATGAGC